CATTTGCCGCACAGCTCGTTGTGGTGCATGTTGGGCCGGAACCGCCTTGTGGGGTTATTGAAACTGGCAAGTTAAAGCCATCTACAAGGCTGACATCGTAGAAATCTTGCCCTCCGTTTGCTGCTAGAGTGAACTCTGCGAGGGATGCTGGAGGGACTGCGCCTGCTCCATTACAAGCGACCTGGCCAGAGCCGCAGTTTGCAGTGGCACAACTGAAGCTCCCTGAGGAGGTTGAGCATTGTGTTCGAGCCCAGAGCCTGCCTGTCCATGGAGCAGGAACGTTAATGGAATTTGATGCTTGGGGGGCTAACTCGAATCCAGTGTTTGGTAATTGAGCTCCACCACCGGCAGTAAGGGTTCCTGGCCAGATAGTGTATGGACAGTTGTTTCTGATGTTGAGGGTTGCCATGTGGGCCCCTGCATATATACATGCAATGTTGAGAAGAAGATAACGCTATAAAAATGCATTAGAAAAAAAGTTTATTTTTAGAACCAATTCGATTCCATACATTTGGAGCTAGAGAGAAAGAATGGGAAAGGGTCTTGTTCATTACCTGAGATGAGGAGGGCCAAGGAAAGGCCAAAGAGCAAGCAGGGCCTCATCATTGCTTAATTAAACAATTGATTAATTGCTTTCGTTTTTGGTTGACGCGAATGGTGAAGCTGTGGTACGCAGAAGGTGCTATATATAGAGTTAAACAAGGCCCATCATGCTTAAATTTTGGCAGTAAAGGTCAATTAATTGGATAACTAATAAAGACCCTCTCTCGAAACCAACTAAGTTGACTGTTATATTAACATTAAGTGACAAAACTTTTCTACGGTAATATTCGAAATGAAAATAATCTTAGACTTTAAAAAAAAAAACAATTCAAAAGAGAAAAATCAACAGAAGTTGATCTTGTTTATACAAAGTTGCAAAAGTTCTCAAAAAATGTAGCAAAAGCCCAAACTCAGAAGGTCCCACTAAACACAACAAACACAGGGAAGAGATAAGCAAGCCTCAACCTTTCCAAACCCAGAAAACAAATCTCAGAGTGCAAGTTGACACTCCTAAAGGAAAAGAGCAAAATAAAACATATGAAAGAAATAAATAGTACAGAATAACTGATGTTCAGGGAAATTTTATGTAAAATTCTTGGCTTGGTTTCGTATTCCCATTATTTCTCCTCCAAGATCTTTGTATTAATGGAGAAACAGTTAATGGATAAACAGTTTTCTACATTTTCCAACCATGTGATCTATGTATGAAGGATTAATATTTGATGCATTTATAGTGATTAGTTTCTATACTCATTAATGAGTTATTATTTTGAAAGAAATAAAAAGTTGAAAAGGTCCCAAAACAGCATTATGTTTTAATATTAATTTTTTTTTTCGTTCAAAATAATATTCATTAATGAGATGCCAAGATTTTGTGATCGGATAATATATAGAAGCTATACACTATTTGTGCATGTAATATTTTATTAATCTAAATATGAAAGATAGTTATTTTTTTTTCTTACTTTTAAAATGATTACAATTCTCAATTTAAACAAAGCAATTTAAAGAAAATATAATTAAACAAAGACAATAAAAACATATTAGATCGATTTAATATTTACAATAGTCTTATATTCATAGAAGAAAAATTCAACATAAAGAAAAAATTTATCAATGTGTTTGTTCATATATAGAAATATCAACACGTATAAAAGTATGAAATTTTGAATAAATATCGAATAAAAACAAAAGATTGAAAAGATCTTTATAAACTCGACGAGAGGGAAAAATATATTGTGGCATAGTCAAATGGCATGTAGTGATTTTCGCTATTGTACACCCAATCAAAGTTTTATAATTTCTAACTACAACATTTTTGTTTGGATTCAACTATTTGATCAAATTACAAAATTCATGTCGCGCAATTCTCTCCCAGTCTTTTACAAACAATTATGTAATAATTTTTTATAATTAATCTATAATATAATATGCCTTTAATTCTGATTAAAAATACAATATATATATATATATATAAGTATATGCTGAAAATGGTTAAAGAAGCAAAGAATTTGTAAGTACTCGAAATTAACTTGAATTTTGCGGAGAGCAAGCTTTGGGCAAACACGCAATATTATTGCTCATCATGTCAAAGTAATAACGTGAGCATTACAAATTTCTTCAAAGCCAACAATATTTGTACAAAATTCATATCCATGAACTATGATGATGTTCTCAAACCTGATAATTTTGAAGCAGTGGGAAATTAAACCGATTGATCGTTTTGACAAATGATCGCCTCCTTGTGTCTAGCTAACTCCCTATCCTGTTCTTCATAAGGATTAAGTGACTCTAGCTGAACCACTCTAAATATGAAATTGATCATCTGGACATTGACTTCCATGCACATACGTATGCTTCTTGCTAACTTATTATAACATTCAACATTGAATCCCTAATCACCACTTATTAGTAGTTTTTCCATACACAGTCAATGCATAACTCGGTTGACTCTTCTCTTCTACAATTTAGTCAAATATATACACTTAGTTGCAAAATTGGGTACAGGTTCAATTGATTTTCCATTTTTGTTTTTTTAAAAGAAGCGACAGGTTTAATTAATTCAACATCCAATTTCATTCTTCACACTATGTAGAAAGGTCATGTAAGTAATAGGTTTCGTTCTTTACACTCAATAAGAAGATCATGTAACACGAATTTGTGAAAAACAAACTATATTAAAGACTAATCAGTAAATTATATTTAATTATAGTACCAAATCATAAAGATAGATATGCTTATTATAACACTATAAGAAAATAGATGAATTGTCCATGGATAACAACTGTGCAATTTTTCAACAGAATATTGACGAAATACTGACAGAATTGATTCAATAAAATTTAAATAAATAAGTGATATTATTTAGTTTTAAAAAAATTAATTAATGTACTAATAACTTAATTAAATAGTTAATTAATAAAAGAAAATAATATATAAGTAAACAATTATTTAAATAAGTAAAAATATTTAATTTAAAAAATTATTAAATCAAATAATGTATTAATGAATTAATTAAATAGTTTAATTGATTAAATAAAATTTAATTAAATATGTAGTGTTAGTTAGTTTAAAAAATTAAATTAATTAGTGTACTAGTAACTTAATTAAATAGTTTAATTAATAAAATAAGTAATAGTATTTAATTTAAAAAATATTCAAATTAATTAATATTATTAATAACTTAATTAAATTGTTTAACTGATTAAATAAAATTTAATTAAATCAATGATATTATTTAGTTTAAAAGATATTAAATTAATTAATGTACTAATAAATTAATTGACAATAGCAGAGGAGAGAGTATAACTATTTATTGCTAGATGACTTTTAAGATAATTGTAGCTTCATAATCTTTGAGGCATTTAATATTTTCTGAAAATTCTGCAAATAATGCCAATGAGATAGTCTGCGGAATTTATCGACCGATTCACACTTTTTACTAATAGAATTTGATAATGTGGTATGCGTTCAATCCATAGGTTATTTCATCAATAATGTCCATTGATACTGTAGCGACAAAGTTTTTCGGCAAAATGGTTGTGTCACCAACCATACCTCTAGGTGACAAATTGGCTAGTTTTTCAACAGAAAAGTCGACAAAATATTCTATTGGAGAATGTTCTGACGGATTATTCCTTCACCGATGAAGTGATCATTATCGACAGTATTCGTAACCCTGATAGATTTTTCTATCAACATTTTTGTTGGTGAATTAGAATACCGACAAATTATAATATGTTATTGATAAAATTTTCTGTCGATAAAATCCAAATTCTTGATAATTTAAGGCCATAGCACCTTAAATTCAAGGACTTGCTTTTGTAAATTCAGGGGAACTTTTTTTTCCCTGTTGATCAATGAAATCCTTAATTTTCAAAAAAAAAATCATAAAGATAGATATTTAAATCTTACGTTGGCAACCTAATTCATGGTAGGGTATCCAAACATGAATATTAGCTTTATCAAGAAGTACCATCATCTTTTCAAAGCACCCAAAAAAATTACACACAAAAAGAAGATGTCCAGCACCTCAAATGTGGAACATCTTACACAAAAAGAAGATGTCCGGTATCTCAAATGTGGAACATCTCACATGAAACGCCACTTTTACTCTATGATTATAGATTGAAAACCCATGTTGATGTTAAAAGAAGTCCTCGTTGTAATAGCTATAAAATGCTAAGCATGTAAAAATGATTTGTGTATTGTACTATGGATGACAGTAACACTCTGTCAACCAGAATACTTTCCTTCGGTATAGTAAAATTCTTCACCCCTCATGCCATTGCCAAAACTTGGAAATATCCCATTTTCGATAAGAAGGAAAGTTATGAAGCCGGCCTACATATATTTCCTTTCCTTTTTGTATGTTAGTCATAAGTTTAGCATCTCGATTTTTTTTATCTGATCAAAGTCGATATACACATCATGAACAGAACGTGATGAGGCAGCTGTAAAATTTTGCTCTTTTTGGCTTAACCAGAATTTCATTCCATTCTTAGACAACCATTCTTATAATCGCATGACCAAATGAGTGGTCGTGATGATAATTGAATTATGGAAAGTTCATGCAAAGAACGTGATGATAAAACTGTATGTAACTTTCTTGTCATTTGCAGAACTTCTTGAAGCTCCCTAGTTATCAAAATTGCATGGCCCAGACTGTAACCTAAATTTCCTAATTAATTAGCCATGGAAGCAAGATGATTTAAAGAAAAAGGCAATAATTAATTAGTCATGGAAGCAAGATGATTCACAGAAAAAGCCTTGTCAAGGGCTAAATAAATTATTGTTATAGGCAACAAGACGATTTTCTAAATTATCAGCCAAAATCAATTGAAAGAAACAGTAAAAAAGTAATAAAAAAACGTAGATAAAGAAATATATTTGAAGATTATATTCTTGATCATAACATTTTTGTAGTTCAAGATTTTATAGATCAAGAAAACTAATCTTCAAGGACAGAAAGTTATGAGGTAATTAGCTCCACCAGTACATGTCACCAAACCAGACTTATCATCATAAGCGTAACTGTAAGCCTGAGGGCACTGGCTCTTAAAAATATTAGAATAATTTGTGGGAGGGCAAGTATCCGGGGTACTAAAAGCGCCTGTGCAGCAATACTGAGATTGATTAAAGGCCAAGCATGCGCTTTGGCAGGCAACAACACCTCCATCAGACCCCTTAACCTGTAATTCCTGCGGGCAAACTGCATTCACATTGGCCGTGCAGCTGACAGGGGTGCAACCTCTCGAACCGCCTTGTGGGGCGATTGAAAGAGGCAAGTTGAAGCCATCAACGAGGCTAATGTCGTAAAAATCTTGTCCATTGTTTGCTGCGAGGGTGAATTCTGCCAGGGATGCTGGTGGGATCCCACCAGCGCCGCCGCATGAAACCTGACCAGAGGCGCAGTCCCCTGTGGCACATTGGAACTTGCCATTATCGTTTGTGCATTGAGTTCGAGCCCACAATCGGCCAGACCATGTAGCTGGAACGTCCAGGATGAATGGGACTTTTGAGGCTAACTCAAAGCCCGTTGTGGATAATTGAGGTCCTGAACTTGTTAGAATTCCAGGCCAAACTGTGAAGGGGCAGTTGTTGTTTAATGTGAATGTAGCTGGTTTAGCCCCTGCGTTTGATTGAACTTGATAATTAGCATCGATATTAAACATGAAAAATCCCACAGAAAAAGTTTCAAAGACAAAAAACTTTTGTAGATACTTCCAAAGAGAGAGCATCGAAACAAGAAGAGTTAAAGAAAAAAAATATACCAGAGACGAAGAAGATGACAACAAAGGAGATGCCAAAGATAACCTGAGCCTCCATTATCACCTCTAAAATTTCTTTGATTGTATAGGTGAGACTATCAGTACTGTAGGTGTAAGTTGGTGCTCTCTGCCCTTATATATAGAGGCACGAGCTAGCCATAGGGATAATATTTCTTTATATGGAAATAGTAAAAGATATCGTCAATTACACATGCAAAGGCGGAATTTCTTTCCATCTGAAGCTTATGAGTAACAAATCACCTTTGGATTTCATAGCTTTTAGGAATTTAATAATTTAATTTTTCCCCGTTTTAGGGAATATCATGCCTAATAAGAATAAGAAATTTATCACATGCTTGGTGAGTGAGATTTTACCTGCCCTTGCACTTGGCAAACCTGACTGCCCAATATACCAGACAGGATTTTCTGGATAAGATGAAACTTATTTTCCATATATAAGCTTTTCTCTCTCTCTCTCTTTGATTGGCTACCCATCCATGGAGGGTGCGGGATTTTCCATATATAACTTGAATACCAATAATTAATAGGTAAAAAAAAAAAGGAAATTAAAGAGCAAATATATGCACAGGCTCAAAACCAAGAAAATAATTTCCAAGAGGACTGATGACTGCTTTGATTTCAAAAGTTTTTTATATATATACATCAGTCATTAGGGTTGTTAATAGGTAAGGTACTTGTTAATTTCAAGGTACTCGTTAATTTCAAGGTATCCGAACCTTAACCCTATAAAAAAGCAAATACCTTAATCTTATTAACTATTAGAATAATTTTAAAAATTACTATCGTAACCCTAACTTTAATACATTCTCACTATCCTATAATTTCCCTAACTCGTTTAAAAACCTGATTAGATAAAAAAAAATTATTAAAATGTTTTTCATGGGTACCCTATTACACGAACCCATATTCATATATAATAATATTTTTCCTATATATTTCATATAATTAACTACTAATTAAATTAATAAAAACACAAATAATAAAATTTAAATTTAAATAATCAAAAACTATAAAATGTGCTTATAAATGAACACAATATATAATATAAATCAATATTATTTTATTGTTTAGTAATTATTAACTTATATACTAGTAATTATGTTCTTTATAAATGAACATAATATATAATATAAAGAGCATGTATTAAATGACATTACAAGTTATATACTATAAAGTGTGCATATATATATATATATATATATATTCTAATTAATAATTTTATAAGTTATAATTTTATAATGTTAACACAAAATAAAAAGTAAATATATTTACATTTAAAGTATATATATATAATTAAAAGTATTTCGTGTATATATATAATAGTAATTACATTCTTTATAAATGAACCCAATATATATAAGGTATAGATATTAAAAGATATTGCAAGTTAATTAATAATCATAATTTCATTAATTAATTTAATTAATTATATGAGTTTTCCTTAATTACATGAAATTAAAAAAAATAGCTAAGTGTCCAAACTATTCTAATTTCACAACTTCTTTTTAGATAATTAAGTTTATAAATTATAAGTTTATATAAACAAAGATATATATTATAATTAATAATTTTATAAGTTATAATTTTTGTAATGTTAACACAAAATAGAGAGCAAATATGTTCACATTTAAAATGTTTATATATAAACACACATGCTAAAAGTATTTTACTATATGTATAATAGTAATTTTATCCTTTATAAATGAACTCAATATATATAAAGTAAATATATTAAAAGACATTACAAGATAATTAATAATCATAGTTTTATGAATTAATTTAATTAATTATAAGTGTTTGTCCTTAGTTACATGAAATTAAGAAAAATAAGTAGGTCTACAAACTATTCTAATCTCACAATTTCTTTTAAGGTTTGTATATTATAAGTTTAAATAAACAAAGATGTATTATTATAATTAATAATTTTACAAGTTATAATTTTTGTAATGTTAATATGCAATAGAAAGTAAATATATTTATATTTAAAGTATATATACACTAAAGGAATTAGTGTATATATAATATAGTAATTATATTTCTTATAAATGAACCCAATATATATAATGTATATATTAACAAGCATTCCAAGTTAATAAATAATCATAGTTTAATGAATTAATTTAATTTATTATATGGGTTTGTTTTAATTACATGAAATTAAAAAAATAAGTTAGATTTCAAAACTATTCTAATATCAAAGACTCTATTTTAAGTGTATATATTATAAGTTATAATTTTTGTAATGTTAACACAAAATAAAAAATAAATATTTTTATATTTAAAGGATACATGTGATAGTAATTATATTTCTTTATAATATGATATGATATTCTTATTATTTAAACATAATGAATAATCTAATAATTTTTTAATTTAAATATATTAATA